AAAACACAGTTTGGCTACCTGTGCATTTAATATTGCGTTAGCCTATTTGAGTTTCGGGGGGTGCAATAGCGCTATTGAAATTGGGAAATTTGAGCAAACAAACACGATTTCACCTAAACCAAATAGTGCCCTTCTATGAAAACAAGAGAAATAGCAACTAAGTGTTGATTTCAGATCTGACTCCGTGACAACCTGTTGATCAAGTACAACCGGTAATCCAGTAATTATCTTGTCAGTGTGGTTAAATACCAAATGAAACACAAAATGCCAAAGTGACTGCGAAATAATGACATGGAAATTGAAAGCTTGACAAGGTTTCAGAAAAATAAGTGTAAAGTATCGTGTAAGGCCCTCCAAAATTTATCGACTTCCTTGTTTTATCTTTATTCTCTTTGAATTGAGAGGGGTAATTGATACTGCCTCAATGCTGCAACGATAATAGAGCATTTACATTTCCAATAAAACTTGGGTAAAACTCACTCAATGTGCCAGCAAACAGCAAGACTTTATGTCATTATATGAAGAGATGAAGAGCTCATTCTCAAAAACCAAGCCATACGCACAGAAGAACTTTTGTTATGTTAAGCAGAGAGTTACACAAAAGTTCAACTCTCTTCCAAGAAAGTTACATGTTTTGTCTGCATACAACTGGACTCAACACGGATAATTTAAGCGGCTTTCATTAACTTGGCCTTGGAATTAGCGATACCTGAGCGGTCCCGCGTAAGGAAGAAAAGTGGAAAATTCCGCCCAAATCACATCGATGTTTGATTTTGTTTATTTTTCTGTCATTCTTATAGTTACGAAACTATTGAAAAAGGGTGAACTTAACCAACAGAACTGCAAGAACTTTCATTTTTCAGCCACATTCAACACCTCGCCTACTGAGGATCAAACACTTGGGCGCAGCAACTCCTGCTATATTTACATAACAAAGAATACGTGTTGTACCTAATGTCGACAGACGATATATGTCGTGTAATGACGTCACAAACTCTTTGTGCTGGCGGAAAGATATTCCCAGCATTTTGGTGGGGTCATACAGAACTGTTTTGAAGCAGGGTGAGATATGTGTGGGTAGCTTATACCTTTGGAATCGAATGGAACAATGCAGCTTGTTTGGACGTTTGATTTACCTCTCTCTCCCACCTTTTCCGAGGGGACAACCCTCCCCAAAGTACATTTTGCTGATTTAGTGTAATTTAGTTAAAGGTGAAGTATCACCCATAGCCGTCTGAGTTAGAAACTGACGGTACAGTGCCATAGTAAGTGTATCAACAGTGCTGCTGCCAAGATCGAATAATTGCCTAAGCAGAAGGTACGTGCAAAATTAAAATCAAAGTTGTTTTGGTCATATTTAGTGTATGAAACCATTGTTCAGGAAAAATGTTCCGTATTCCAATTGATGTTTACATAGCATCTGATAAGATTCGGCATATGAAGCAAATTTGTCTGGCAGCGTAGGAATAAATTGACGGCGACTTTAAAATTCACGCGGCTCTGTATTATAAAGAATGCAGCCACCACCCTGGACTCGTGCGTTATTTCCCATTGCAGCCAAAATACTCAGACGCGACCTTTAACTTGTTATTTTATTTGCACAGCGTATACCAACCTTTTTGATCACCTCTCAGAGTTACCCTTTCTGATAATCTTTCAAACATCCAATAGCTTATAGTTAATACATTCTATTGTCGAGTTTTCTCCATCACCGCCCAGTGTCTATGCAGTATGTGTGTTGCGTGCTCGGGGAATTCCCCCAGCAGTTGGAAATTCTCGCTTACTTAATTTGCATGTGACCTGGCCTCCGTATCACATTGATCTCCATTTGCAACCACCAATATAGTGCCAACATATACAAACAGTATAACTATGACTTACACTTTTAAGCTGTGCAAGTTCAAACAAGCTGATTGTTTCTCACAGGAGAAAATTGACCTATAAAACAATATAAAAATTAAGAAAAAGTTAGGACGAACTTAAAACTTGTGTCTTGGCAAATGTATTCGGTTATTTTGTTAAAATATTGTAAAATGTTACCATTTGGATTTAATATAAGATTGAGAACGTGTCGCTCACTGCATGAGAGCTGAATTACCTGCAGATTGGCCTCTTATGTGTCTTATTTACGCACTACGGAATGTCATGTGAATGTGCTATTTTCTAAATCATTAAAATTGCGCTTTAAATTAACCGTTAACAGCGACACCGTGTTTTCGTGATGTTTTCTTGAAACAGTAAAATTGAAACTTTAAGCGACCCAGTTGAATGATATCTGCAATTACAAATCTTGTAAGATTACAGCCAAAAGTCAAAGGTGTATTCTACCTGACTTGAATGGCCAAATCGTTACAGGTTTAACGTGCAATGTTGATGTCATATTCTATGGAAATGTGAAATATACTTCTTTGGTATACATTCCATTTTATTTGAGCGTTTTCAGTCTGACTACTACGTATTTTTCGAAGACAAGGTGAATCGATTATACGCTTTCAAACTTTCAAAATTATTAATAATACTCTGATTCTTAGATTAAATATCTCAACTCTTCAGATACAAAAAAACTGTGTAGCCACCACAGTGATGTGACCAACCCGGCCCACCGGCATTTGGTCTGGATTTGTGTATGCTTTCTTGCTCACGAAATTCTCAGACACGACTAGCACAATGGTGCATAGAATCTTCGTTAGCTAGGATAAAGCTTAAGTATAAAGCTTTAGGTAAGGCTTTAGTATTTCTAAAGCTGTTTATGTGTATCGATCGCAGATAATTACTTCTGTGTGCTTGGTGATCAAAGTTTGTTTGGTTGGTTTGGTATATTTCCATACATCATAATTAGAACATAAAGAAACAATAGATGATGAATGGCGGATACCACACGGAAAGCGAAACGCTTATTTGTGGCCTGGACAAACTGTTTTTGGTCAGAAAGATAGGACTTTCTAACCAATCCAAAGCCACTCCTCTAATGCCATATCTATTCAGTTCCAAATTAAAATTTTATGATCAATAGTATCAAATGCCTCGGATAGGTCCAGAAACAAAGCAATAGTACGAGAAGATTAGTCTAAAGAAAAGCTAAATTTACGAACAAGGTCAACTAGAGCCATTTGGATCGAGTAGTTTGCAGGAAATCCATACTGTGACTTAGTTAAGATATTATTCTATATTATGAATTTAGATGATTTGCTGCCAGACGTTCTGGGACTTTAGAAGGATTTGGTAGAATAGAAATAGGACGGGAGTTGGATATAGTCTGTGGGTCACCAGTTTTGAATACAGGAATTACTTCAGCAATCCTGAAGTCATTAGGCATGGTTCCAGATGTAAACGATAGGTCACAAATTTTTAACAGAGGAGAATCAATTTCATGTCTATATTTCTTAACAAGGAATGCACCAAAGTCATGTCCAGAGCTTTTCTGGATGGTAGTTTATCTATACATTTTAAAAGTTCATTTGCAGAAATTGGATTCATAAAAAATAAATCATTGAAGTCACCAACTGTAAAATCTGTCGGACTGGAATTGGTATTGTGACGAAACAGGGGTAAACATGAATGCCAGTCTAAGTCATGAATTATTAAGCATTGCGTTGACCAATCAGCGTTGCGTAGAGCACTAGGTCTGGGCGCTTGCGGCGTGCTTAGAGCGCGCACAATCAGTTAGTGAGTTTCGCTGCTGGGTCGCAGAGTGGCAGGATCGTGGAGGACGCTGTCTACCGTTCTGTGCTGTGACTGTGCGAGGTATAGCGTGGGCGCTGCACCAGGGGCGGTGCGTGAGTGACTATAACTGGTAGGTGTAGTAGTGAACCGTATTGGGTCTAGATTAGTTTAGTGATAGAGCTGAGTGTCGTGAACCTAGGCTGGGAGCTAGTGGTCTTTGCTGTTGGATTGCTTGTCGTCTGTAAGCACTGATAGTAGGGTGACGGCTGGAAGGCAATCTTGTCATTGTGCTAGCTAGCCTTCAGGTTTACTTGATGTACTCAGATCGCTGTGAGGGTAGTTTCCCTTTCGTTAGATCGACCCTGTTTTGCATGACACTTTGTGTTATTTGTGTGAGGGCTATCACTATTTAGTGGGGTAATGGGTTGTAGACTAGCTGTGTTTAAGTTTGTTGGGTGGTTAGTTAACCACGTGAGGCATATTGTATCGCCTTGTGAGGTGCATTGTGTACATAAACCTTGTGTGATATATATACCTTATTGATTGTTATTACAATAAATCAAATACTTGATTATTGTCCTTGGAAATCCTGTGTCACTGTTGAGGTTTATTTAGGTTTCCCTGTGTTTCATTACTGTATTGCCAGATAAATCTAGTCTTTCCTAATTGGTGGTACACTTCCATCCAACGAACTGCCCCTAGGCTTAGTCTGCCGTTCGTTAACTGATATCCCCCCTTGTGTCAGGGTAGCCGCTCATCCTTGATCAAGGTTAATAAATATATTTGTGGGGTTGGGCCAGGTCAATTCCATCCCTGATCCGGCCGGTTACTGGGTCCACCACAAGAGGTGTCAGTTGCATTCGCCACAGTATGAAGGATCTTAGAAGCAAGCTCCGGACTAATATTTGAAAAATTGTTAAAGTTTTCGGCGATGAGTTATGGGTGTTGCATTTTAACAGGTTGATATTGAAATCCCACAGAATATAACACATTCTATTTTCAGAAGTTATTTTACACAGGATTTCGACAAAATCTTCCGTGAAATTAGAACAATTAACACCAGGGGGTCTGTAAATTAATCCTAAAATAATGTTTATCCTCTTAGGAACGTTTATTTCGATGGAAAATAGACGCTACATAAATCTGGTCTAACAATATATGACAAGGATTCTTTTACATACAGCAATAAACTTCCACCTGTCTGTCCTTTATTCTTGTACTCAAAAGAGTATCATGGAATACATAGCAAGTGGAAGCAAGTCTAAGTAGAAGACGAAGTGAGGCTGAGAATCTTCATAACACAATCTGCAGTGTGAAAAGGACAGAAAATGCCCCTTTTCAATATGATTCTAGTTCAAAGATTTCTGTCATAATGTATGCTGGTTTAAGTCAATTACTTTCAAAGACTGATGAAAGACTAATAAGTACCTTAGGATAGTTTTCAGCAAGATTTTTTATAAGATCAGAAAAGAAGAGTCCTTCAACTTGCCCCCGAACGTTCATGGTGTCTTACCATTTCTCTTATGAGAAATAGTATAAAACGCATTTATGTTTCCGCTCTCTGATTGAAAACATTTCATACAAGCCTTTCATGATGTATCCACCCAGATGTTCTTCCAGACACACTCCTTGGGTGAGAAAGGGCGTAAGGTGCCCTAGCTTACATTAGATAATTTTTTTTCAGTTGAAGGTATTTTTATTTGTATTATTTGGTATTTAACGTATAGATCAAGGACCGTATTCATGGTCTGTGTATCTGTATGGCATTTGGTGTATGTTAACGAGTGTGTATGAAGGGATCAGCCTTGTGTACGTAGTCGAGTCCCAATGTTTGAATTTGAGTCCAAGTTAGAGTCCACGTCTTATTAATTTGTGTTCAAGAATGAGTCTTCCGATCAACCGGCTGTTGCTCATGCTAAAGATGGCACTCAAAATGAAGGAATTAACATTTCATACATTTGGGTCTAGTTGTTAATCATACTCCGATTCCCTGACCAAAGGTCTCAACGTTTCTGATAAAATAACGGGTCGCCTCACAGTCACGTGTCCAATTCAAAGGATTTGTCCGGATCCCCGTATTTTATTTTTTACTAAAGAGAACTCTGAGCACACTGGTGCATAGACATTCATGAACCCCCGCCGTGTAGAATCAGACGAGCCACTTCAAATCTCAGTTCAAAATGGCAGCCGACCAACACTTACCAAACGAACAAATGCAGTCATGAGATTTAGCTGTCGATGGAATCTGCCATTAATCGGCGGGTGGGTGTATACATTCCAAAATGTGTAATGTGGCTGTTGACTACAACCAGACCAAAAAGCGGGACTTTACAAACATAGTATTGTGTTTGTCCCTTCATGTTTCCCTTGGGAATAAGCCACAAAAAGGAGTCAAATGTCCTTGTTGACAGAAACGAAGGTATTGATGTCATTTCTATAAATGGTAATGCTGGCGGAAAGATATATGTGCATCACACAATCGTGAATCGGTTAGTAGAAATGTTTGAGCGGAACTGCTTGCGGAAGTTGATGCAAAATATTTATCCCACGTAACTTGCCTTTTGGATTCCACACGTAGCTTTTTGGTAGTTTGGACGTTATTGGAAGAGAATTTGTCTACCTTCCCCGGGCGAGAAAAGGCCTGCAAAAGCATTTTTTATTCGGAGCTTTTAATACCGGCCTAGAAGTGAAATTAGGTCTGATCGGCCGTAGTCTACGGTAGAGTCTAACTAATAGTCCTGCTGCCGACAAAGTATAATTGTCCAAGAAGTAGAAGGTAAGTTGGTGTTATAACAATCCAAAGTACATTTAATCCCAAAGAAAATAACACATTTTATTTTCAGAAGTTATGTTACACAGGATATCGTCAAAAATTTCCGTAAAATTAGAAACATTGAGACCAGGGGATCTGTAAATTAATCCTAAAATAATGCGTTTCCTCTTAGGAATGTTTATTTCGATGAAAATAGACTCAAAATAATTAACACGCTACTTAAATTTGGTCTAACTATATGGTCATCTGTAGACGGTCCCTGCGAGTCCATGGTGTTCCCTCACTTAGAACGTCACGTGATGCATAGATTTTGTGATAAATTACACGATCTTCATTTCGACCCCGAAAAATCCCCTGTTCCTTCCTTAATTTCTTCTGACAGCAATCGACGAAAACATGGACTATGTCAGTGGGGTGAGAACTGCAGTTATATTTACACTCCTAAATCAGCCAATCTTGGTAAAATCACGATTAAAAAACAAACAAACAAAACGAACAAACAAACAAAATGAATGGTGTATCTCTGATCTCTGTTATTCTGATAAGATCTTGGGTTGCGTAGCTTGCAACCTAAAGAAATTTCGTCATTTTTGTATTTTTTTTCTTTTTCCTTGAAAATTGTATTAGACACGCTGAGCACAGTACCGTACAAAAAATTGTTAGCGAAGCAAAATAAACCACAAGATAAATGTATTTCCAAATTTGTCTATGAGTCTCAATTGTAGATGATTACAATCTGTTTACTTGACATGGTCAATGTTCAAAGGCCAAAAATCGGAGCCGCGCCCAGTATACAATTATATAAGCGTCTTTAAAGTAGGCTCCACTCAGCCATTAGTGCAAAGAGGCTCGTGGTCACCAATAGTAACCAACCAAAATTTGCCACATGAACTTAAGCAATAACGACATTTGGTTATTGCTTGGAAATTTGCCAATAACTGGTGGATGGATTTTTACATTGCGAAATATGCAGTTTGTTTATTGAATACAAGCATAGCAACAATTGGCGGATGAATACATGTATGCAAAAGACGTAAGTCGGTTGTTTTTAAATTGAAGCCTTGCAGTAATAAGTGGATGGGCATACGGTGCAGAGCGGCTGGTGACGTGGCTGATCAAACTAGAAATAAGTCCTGCTTCGTGTCACGCGATTCCGTGTTTACATAAAATAAAGGACAGTAGAATTGTTTGTGGAAAGGTATAAATATAATTATTTATATCGAGATTTTTGTTCAATCTATTATTTGGATCCAGGAGAGCAACTGGATAGTAATTAGGTTTGCTTTTTTGCAATCCTGCACGGGGGTGTTACGTGTGTTTTGTGTCTTTGTGGATGTGCCAGTGTTGTTGCTTGTGCTGCTGTTTCTAAGTTTGTGTGTTACTGTACTCTGTGTGTGTTCGTTTGCCTTTTTATCGATTTAGATTCTTAATTAAAACTAAATTTCTGAGCTTACATTTTTTTTCATTTTGTAAACTGCGTAAATTTTCTGTGTTTTAATCCTGCAAAATAAATAAAAGAAATGAAAATGACATTTGGTTCAGTGAGTGGTATATCGCCCAGTTTACCACCAGCTCACTTCAAACGAATGGGAAACGAAGTTTAAGCATTAAATTCCAGTGATTCGGTGCCTTCCATTCTGCAAGCACACCCTATACACTGGAGAGTCTTCACAACTAATGACTGGGGGTAGTTTGAAACACAGAAACAGCATCAGTACTTTCATTGTTAACTGCTAATTTCTGTATGGGCAGAGGGATAAGTTGGCATAAGCATAGTCAAATTAAACCTTTACCTCGCCTTACATTAAGAGATTTAAATGTTATAAGCAACATAACCTTTTTATGCTGCTGCATTGTAAACGTTGAGTAACATTATCGTAAAAGCTTTGAGATCTCATGACTGGTCAAAAACAGTATCATCTTTGGAATCTAATAATGACAAGAAAGGTTGATCCTTTACTAATCTTATATGTTGTAACCGCTTCAGCCTTTATCAGAGCCAAACGATATTTTTGCCACACAGAAACGCAATATCTGTTTTGTCCAAGACGGCCTTATTCATACTTGCAATGATTTTCTGGAATGGCGAACCCTCACAGTGTGCAAATTACTGGTGGAAGTTAATTTATGCCATGTAAGGAATATTCTTTAAATGCAAAAGCCAAATGTTCGCTTAGCTGAATTGCAATGGCTCTAATGGTAATGAAAAAAAGATTCTATTGCTGGTAAAAATGATCTTATAAAGAAGGGAAACATTATGACAATGACAATATTATGACGACTTGAACAAAAACAAAAAGATGGTGAAATATCAAGCTTTATTTTGGACATGTCCAAAACACCTGTTCAGAATAAAT